AGGGTAAATGGGTTCCTTTCATATATTGTGGGTTGGCACAGGGGGGATAAAAAACACTTAGCCCTTATCACCAGGCAGAAGGGAAGTGCACATAGCTGTAGAATGGCTGAGCTCACTGGCTCTGGAACATGCTGCAGACTATATAGAGGGGGTGCAGGTATAAATCACGTCCCTGCATCCCTCACAGTGGGGCAGCACCTTAGTGAAGAGGCTGTGCTGAGTGTGGAGGCAAACTCAGGGACTGCATCAGGCGGCAAAAGCTCTAGCTACGCCACTGCACTACTGTAAAAGGCCATTCGGACTACAAACTCTGAACATTGTTCACATTATTTAACAATATGAAGATTTTGCAGAGCAAGAGTCTGAAATTTTAAAGCATGGAGAAAGCCTTTATAAATGATCTTACCACCTTGAAAGCTCATTCTGAGAGGAGCCCTCATGGGGCTCACATTGATTTATTTTGGTCGCTGCACAGTTTTATTAATTTTTTTTATAGAAATGGGATTTTTTTTGGACTTTTGTGTGGCTAAAGAAAAGAAGACTTAAAAGAAAAGATGGCTAATGGTAAGTCAATTTTTTTTCTTTTTTATTCCCACAGAATTTGTGCTCCCTCCCCACTGTTATTATGGTAAGGAAGTAGGCATGATTTTTTTATGGTTGGGTCAACAGGTGTTGGAGGAAGTTAATGTGACAGGCTGCATGTGGCACAGTTGGGTGGTGTATCAAAGGATTGGGGTGAATGTGCAATGTTTGGAGGAGGCTGTGTAACAGAATGAGAGGAGATGAGTGTGACAAAATTTAAGGGAGTTAATGTGGAAGGGTGAGTGTGGCAGGGTTAGGGGGAGAGTGTGACAGGGATTGGGGTGAGTGTGGCACAGTTGGAGGAGCTTATGTGGTAGGGTGAGTGTGGCAGGGTAAAGGGGGTGCGTGGAACAGATTGATAGAGGATGTGTGACAGGGTTGGGGCTGTGTGCGAGAGTACAAGAAAAGGTGAGTCTGACAGGATTGAGGGGGGTTAATGTAATAGGGTAATTGTGTTAAAGCAAGGCCAGGTGAGTTTGGTATGGTTGGAGGGTGACAGGATAAGGAGGGTTTAATGTGAGTGTGGCTGGGTGAAGGAGGAGACAGTGTGTGGGGGCCCAAAGTGTTTGGGAATGGTGATTGTGTATGGGGTGACTGTGTGTGTGTGTGGGGGGGTGACTGGGTGGAGGGGGCTGTGACAGGGTGTGTGTGGAGGGGTGGGTGGGGCTGTGACATGGTAGGGGGGCTGTGACAGGCTGGGGGTGGAGTGGCTGCAGACCACGTGGTAAGTCTTGTGATCTCCAGTCAGAGCGTTGCCGTGGTAACCCGCAGCAACGCTCTGACAGGAGGGAGATCGCAAGACACTTAAGTCTGCAGCTCACTCCCGGCGGAGCTGCAGACAGAAGGCTGGCTCTCTCCCGGGCAGACTGACTGGAGGGGCCTCACACCCGGTGGTATTACGGTCTGACCGAGGATCCGACATGGTAGTCTGCCCTGAGGCGATATAAGGCAGCCGCGAAGCACCCATCAGCGCGAGGCCTTAGGTGACCGCCTAAATTGCCTAATTAGATAGCCGCCTCTGCATGTGTGTGAGTACCATAGTACCACTGCCACAACTACCACTGTAAATGGTGTTTATGCTGCTTGGGTGTTCCTAGCTTTCGAATACCTGGTGTCAGTGGCAGATCCAGGGGGATTCACTGTTGCCGGCCCTGCTGTGTGCCTTCATGGATCAGAGATCTCCTGCACCGGATCGCTTGCACTGAAATACTCTTGATCTTGCAAGAGTGAATTTTAGTGCAGTGGCATAGCAAAGGGGGGGGTGGGGGGGCAGCACAGCAAGGTCCTTGCTCCCTCCCATACTGCCAGTGACCCTCCTTCCACCTTCTGATTGAGACCTGGCAGCGATCCTACTGTTTGCCAGGTCTCCTCCATGAGTGAGTGAGGGGAAGAGGAGAAGCCAGAAGATGGGAAATGAGGTCACTTCCTTTGCCCTCCTGTCCTGCGGAGTGAATAGAGCAGCCTGACAGAGACACCAGGTATGCTCTTCCCTGCCAGCCCCCTCACAGATCCACTCTCTCCCTGTGCAGATCCCTTCTCCCCCTGCACCCTGACAGTCCCCCTCACTCTCCTGTACAGATCCCCTCTTCCCCTGCACCCCGACCGTCCCCCTCAAACCCCTGCACAACTACCACTGTAAATGGTGTTTATGCTGCTTGGGTGTTCCTAGCTTTCGAATACCTGGTGTCAGATCCAGGGGGATTCACTGTTGCCGGCCCTGCTGTGTGCCTTCATGGATCAGAGATCTCCTGCACCGGATCGCTTGCACTGAAATACTCTTGATCTTGCAAGAGTGAATTTTAGTGCAGTGGCATAGCAAAGGGGGGGGGGTGGGGGGGCAGCACAGCAAGGTCCTTGCTCCCTCCCATATTGCCAGTGACCCTCCTTCCACCTTCTGATTGAGACCTGGCAGCGATCCTACTGTTTGCCAGGTCTCCTCCATGAGTGAGTGAGGGGAAGAGGAGAAGCCAGAAGATGGGAAATGAGGTCACTTCCTTTGCCCTCCTGTCCTGCGGAGTGAATAGAGCAGCCTGACAGAGACACCAGGTATGCTCTTCCCTGCCAGCCCCCTCACAGATCCACTCTCTCCCTGTGCAGATCCCTTCTCCCCCTGCACCCTGACAGTCCCCCTCACTCTCCTGTACAGATCCCCTCTTCCCCTGCACCCCGACCGTCCCCCTCAAACCCCTGCACAGATCATCCCCTCTCCCCACTGCACAAATCCCCTCTCCCCACTGCACAGGTCTCTCCCTCCCTGCCTCCCCTGTACCTTGACAGCCCCTCTCACTCCCCTGTACAGATCCCCTCTCAGCCTGCCTCACTGACAGTCCCTCTCTATACTCTGACCATCCATCTTCCTCCCTGTACAGATCCCCTCGCCTGCACCGTCCCCCTCTCTGCACCCTCCACAGCCCCGTCCACACACCTCCCTCCCTACCAA